AAAAAAAAAAAAGAGATGACAAATTTTCTGACACCATAAAAAGTTCCACCAAGGAGAGTCAAGTCAGCAGAATTACCACTCTCAATGAAGCCTATCCTAACCACTCTATCATTTTGCACTGCACCCTCTCCCAATCCCTCTTAATATACTCAGTGCCCCACCCCTACCTTCATGGCTTTTAACATTTTCTAACTTAATTCGTTATAATATTTATTTTTTATTCTGCCTCCACCCACACATAGTAAAACATGGGCTCCAAAGGGGCAGGGATTTTTGTTTTGCACACTGAAGTAGTCTGAATGCCCACAGGAGTGTCCAACAAATGGTAGGTGCTCAAGAAATAATTACGGAATGATTGAATGAGGATACATAGCAGGTAAGAGCAACACGCATATTCATATGCCACTTAAGAGATTAATTCTCTAGATCAGATTGAGAACATTCCTGAATAAGTTAATCATCCCACCACTTCAGATTACTCAGCTCACATTTCCCTTCAAGACCCTACCTGCCTGAGTGCGTTCCTATGGCCACCACTGTGCCACTTGGATGAAAATCTGCACAGTGTCCTGGTTCCTAGAAGAGAGACAGACAGCTGTTGGGGAGTACATGAGAAAGTCTCCCTAGATCTATGGGATAGTGGCAAAGACATCTGAAAATAACTGGTTTCATATAATCACAGAATTCTGATCAACTTTATTGTAGCCAATGAAAAATATCACATGGATATGAGGTAAAAGAATTTCAGAGCAGGAAGGGTATGTGGGCAAAGTGGTGAGGGAAAAGGACAGCCAGCTTGTGGCTAGGCAGTGTAACAATAAGGATAATAACAACAAACATGTATACAGTTCCTTAGTCTGCAAAGAACGTGTATACACACTTAGGCTAGAAAAGGTGGATGTCTGGGTGGGGTAGGGAGAAAATACAGTGAGAGATCAACTCAAAAAGCAGAAAGTAGAGTCTGTTAGTGAGCAGTGCTTACATAGAATCCAACTGCAACACCACCAGAGGCCCAAACATTTCTGTGACAATTAATGCTCCATAAATATGTGAAATTTTTTTGACTTTTTTTCTGAAACTGACAGAAAAATTGAGCTTTTGCCCTAATTTGCTTCTTTAAAGTGGGTTCACATTACACTTTCATCCTTATTTCATCCCCTTTACTAAACTGTATAAATATACTTGGTTTTAACCAATGCTGAGTCCTTTTTCCTTTGCTGCTCCCAACTGCCGTTTGGGGAGTTTCTGTGGGGAGATTATAACACATTTTGTTTTACTCACATCTACAAGCCTGGTCCATTCCAGCCTGTGTTCTACTGAGTTCCACATGCACACCTGTCTGTCCTGAGCACATGTCAAGAGCAAATCTTTAAAGGGATGTGTGGCAAGACCCCAAAGCTCATCTGTATGACCCTGAAAATGAAATACACCCACTGTTATAAGAAACAAAGGGTATCATCAAAAATATTCAGTTAATGATTAAAATCATACATCAGGGCACCTGGGTGGCTCTGTTCGTTGAACATCCAACTTCGGCTCAAGTCATGATCTCATGGTTAGTGAGTTTGAGCCCCACATCGGGCTCTCTGCTGCCAGCGTGGAGCCTGCTTCAGATCCTCTGTCCCCCACCCTCTGCCCTCTTCCCGCCCCCTGCTGTTCATGAATGCGCTCTCTAAAATAAACATTTAGAAGAATTGGTTACAATCATACATCTTACCTGTACTTCTATTTGGAAGCCATCATTAAATGTTCCCCGTAAAATGAAGTTTCGTGATGTGCCTACTAAAAATTGATCTGCCTTTCCTTCTGCTACAGCTCTGATTGTTCCATACTGATCAGGAACCTAAAAGATAAATTTGTAAAGTCACCATAGATAATAACATGCATTAATTACTACCTGAAGACTGCATTTATAGCTGTAAGCAATTATGGGGTAATAAATGACAAAATTCCAAAACTGAAAGTCATATGGTAATATTATACTAATAAGTTTATTTGTTCAATTACATTTTATTACACAGAAGTTATCATGCATTATTATCAACATTCTTTGCTTTAGTCAATTTTTAAAAAAAATATTTACTTTGAGAGGCAGAGAAAACGTGCACATGAGCATACGAGTTGGGGAGGGGTAGAGAGAGAGTGTGAGAGAGAACTCCAAGCAGGCTCTGCAATGTCAGTGAAGATTCCGACACAGGGCTCAATCCCACGATCATGACCTGAGCCGAAATCAAGAGTTGGACACTTAACTGAGCCACCCAGGCACCCCTGCTTTAGTCAATTTTTATATTTATATTTTATATGATCTCAAGAGTTAAGGGCTAGAAGTAGGGGAAAAAGGAAAAAGTTCTATTAGACCACATGAAAAGTGTGGTCTGGTGTTGTTATTTACCAGTTATGTTATTTTGGGTACATCATTTAGCTAGCCTAAGACGAATTTCTTTATCTGTAATATGGGGAAATAATAATATATGCCCTACCTATTCTTAATTGTTGTAAGAATAAAAATGTAAAAATAGCCCATGTGAAATTTCTTTGTTAACTGAAAAGCAATATATTGTGAAGTGTTATAACTGTCCTTATAGGACTCCTTGCGAGATCAATCTCATATGTGTTACATGGTATATACTCTCAGTGAATGGTGTATTAATAATAAGCCCAAGGAATGACCCTGAAATAATACAATTCTTTATAAAGGAGGACACGAATAATTGAATTCTAACGGTAATCCAAACTGATGGCGAGGGGAAGAATGAACTAGATGGTATAGCTTTTGATTACAAAGAATGTAAGTTATCTGTGAAAAAAAAAAAGAAAGAAATAGTAAAGGAAGTGACATTTCCCTGGTGAACTTAAGGTTGAGATAAAGGGAACCTTTCGACTTATCTTCTTGGAAATAAAACCAAGAGCAGTATTATCAGGATCCTCTTTTTTAGAAAACATTTTGTCTGGAAAACATGTTACATGTTGAAAACACTGAGCCTAAATTAAAAATTTAAATCACAAAAAAATAGAACACTAAACTGAGTGAAATTTGCCCTTGCTTTGAGAATCACTGACCTATAAAATACTATTCTTAACCATTTCACATCCAGAGACAGACCTCAATTTAATTAGCAAACTTTCACTGAGCACATAATATCTGTGGATACACTTAGTCCATGATATGAAGCAGACACAAACTTAGACAACTAGCAATTATCATTAAGCCCGCTGTTTAAAATTACTTCCAATTTGTTTTAAATGTTTTATTTTATTTTTGAGATACAGAGAGAGGGAGGTGCAGAGAGAGAAGGGGACAGAGGATCTGAAGTGGGCTCTGTGCCAATAGCAGTGAGACCAATGTGGGACTTGAACTCATGAATTGTGAGATCATGACCTGAGCCAAAGTCAGACGCTTAACCGACTGAGCCACCAGGGCGCCCCTAAAGATTACTTTCAAGTTTTAAAATCAAACTGCTTATTTTGTATGCCTTGGAACTGGATAGTTTATTAGATGAATGTCTGAATTTTAAATATGCATGGTTATATTTTTGGATCACTATAAACTAATCTCAGAAATAAACAACTAGTTATTCTGACCAATATACTGTTTTTACTTTTTCAAATTATTAATGAATGGTCCTTTTTCCTTCTTCCTTTTTTTTTTTTTAAGACAATGAAATGACAAGAATGTGTACCAATTTCCCAGGAAAGTGTGTTATCTTAATGTGGGATGAAAGACATGCATTTAGAGGGCTTAATATTTTAAAATGTTCATGTTTCATTTTCATCCTTACCTCTATTTCTCTTTCAGGATTCAGATCATGATCCCACAGAATTATTTTTCGGTCTTTCCCTCCTCCAGTTAATAACATTCCATTTCTCATCTGACAAAGTGTGAACACACTCCCATCATGAGCTTTGATTTGTTTGCTGATCTGATAAACACCTAGTAAGATGAGAGTAAAAAAAAAAAAAAAAAAAAAAAACAAAACACTAGTGATACATTTTCCATCAGAATTTAGTGTCTTTTTGGAAGAAAACTTTATAGAGTGAATAATCAAAAGTTCCTACTTTTGCATTTATGTCAGTATTTAGTTACTCTGAAAACATTTCAAAATAATTCTTACAAAAAGATAAGCTAAAGTAGTGATAACTCTACAGACAACACAGGATATCTTAGCCTCAGAACTTACTATGTCTTATAATCATTCTGTATGGTAGTTACGGTAGGTATTACTCTTCTGATTTTAGAGCTGAGGACACCACATAGCTAGTGACAAAGCTGTGACAAGTACTCCAGTCTTTACTCACTGTTCCTTTAACTTTCCCCAAAAGTCTTCATTTCCCGCTGAGGTAACAGACATAACATTTAACAACCACTGTTGATGTGGAAGCCTTCTGCTCTGCCTTTACTTTACTTGCTATGAAATGGAGGACTGAGAAAGATACTGGGGCAGAAGTGGGCACTGGCAGCCTAGAGCTGTGGCTTTTGATCAACTAAAGAAGTATTTTTAATATATTTTTTTAAGTTTATTTTGTGAGAGAGAGAGAGAGAGAATGAAAGAGCGAGCATGAGAAGGGAAGGGGCAGAGGGAGAGAGAAAATCTCAAGCAAACTCCACACTGTCAGTGCAGAGTCTGATGCAGGGGTTCCAACCCATTAACTATGAGATCATGACTTGCACGGAAATCAAGAATTGGATGCTCAACCAACTGAGCCACCCAGGCGCCCCGAGGAGTATTTAAAAATTTTTTTAAAAAAATTTTACAGAGAATGAGAGCACACATCAGGGAAAAGGGGCAGAGGGAGAGAATCTTAAGCAGGCTCAACACTCACACAGAGCCTGATGTGGGGCTTGATCCCACGACCCTGGAATCATGACCTGAGCTGAAATCAAGAGTTGGATGCTCAACGGGCTGAGCCATCCAGGTGCCCTCAACTAGAGAAGCATTTTAAAAACCGGTCCAGTTTTACTAATATGATGGCTGAATGATAGCCCAGCTTTCTCGTATCTCTACGGAACTTTACATATACCCAGGGAGGGAGAGGGCAGGTCCATAAAAAAATATTTAAGTAAAGTCCATGTGGAGATTAACAAACAAATTATGTACATACATACAACTGGCCCCTGAATAACAAAGGATTTAGGTGTGCCAACCCCTTGTGCAGTTCAAAATCTTGTGTATAGATTTTGGCCTTCCAAAAACTTAACTAATAGCCTATTGCTGACCAGAAACCTTGCTGATGATACCAACAGTTGATTAACATGTATTTTGCATGCTGTATAAATTACATACTGTACTCTTCCAATAAAGTAAGCTAGAAAAAATATTAAAGCCATAAGAAAATACATTTATAGTACTGTACTGTAAAAATGTGTAGGGGCGCCTGGGTGGCTCAGTAGCTTAAGCATCCGACTCTTGATTTAGGTTCAGGTCATGATCTGACAGTTTGTGGGATCCAGCCCCGGGTTGGGCTCTGCACTGACGGCACGCAGCCTGCTTGGGATTTTCTTTCACCCTCTCTCTCGCCACCCCCCAACCCCCACCCCCAAGGGCTCTCTCTCTCTCTCTCTCTCTCTCAAAATAAACTTTAAAAGAAAAAAAAAATACCAGGGCGCCTGGGTGGCTCAGTCAGTTGAGTGTCCAACTTCGGCTCAGGTCAAGATCTCACAGCTCCTGAGTTCAAGCCCCACGTTGGGCTCTGTGCTGATAGCTCAGAGCCTGGAGCCTACTTCAGATTCTAGGTCTCTGTCTCTTACTTCCCCTCCCCTGCTCGTGCTGTCTCTCAAAAATAAACATTAAAAAAAAAAAATCTGCACATAAGTGGACCCATGCAATTCAAAACCCATGTTGTTCAAGGGTCAATTATGTATGTATGTATTATATATATGTAATCAGATATATATGTATGTGTATATATATGTATGTATACATATATGTATGTATGTGTGTGTGTGTGTGTGTGTGTGTGTGTGTATATATATATATATATATATATCAGATCCTTTTTAAATTAATTAATTAAATTTTAAATAGGCTCCATGCCTACCATGGGGCTTGAACCCATGAACCCGAGATCAAGAGTGTCATGCTCCACCTAGTGAGTTAGCCTGGTGCCCCTCAGATCCTCTTTTTTAAAGGTGAGGGTAAGATTTTAGTATTCAAACTATAACCAGTTCATTTCCTGAGACCTTCTCTTTGGTATTCATGATATGTTAACTCAGAGAAGCTCTTTATCTGGCTAGTGAGGCTAGGAGAGCAAGAGTAAAGCTCTTAGGAAGATATCTTGTAGAATTAGTAAGTAGGTTACAAATGGGAAGGTAGAGCCTTGTTTAAATATGGCCCAAATCAGTCAACAGATCTTAAATCGCTTGGAAAAATGAAAAAAATTACAAGTTTAAAAATTATTCAGTGGGGGCGCCTGGGTGGCTCAGTCAGTTAAGCGTCCAACTTCAGCTCAGGTCATGATCTCACGGTCTGTGAGTTCGAGCCCCGCGTTGGGCTCTGTGCGGACAGCTCAGAGCCTGGAGCCTGTTTCAGATTCTGTGTGTCCCTCTCTCTCTCTCTCTGACCCTCCCCCATTCATGCTCTATCTCGCTCTGTCTCAAAAATTAATAAAAAACGTTAAAAAATTAAAAAAAAATTATTCAGTGGGAGAAATGGGTGAAGGTGGTTAAAAGGTACAAACTTCCAGTTAGAAGATAAAGAAGTTCTTGGAAGTTAACACACAGCATGGTGACTACAGTTAAGAATACTGTATTGTATATTTGAAAGTTGTTAAGAGAGTATTTTTTTTTTTTTAAGTTTATTTTGAGAGAGAGAGAGAGAAAAGGGGGTGGGGAGGAGCAGAGTGAAAGAGAGAATCCCATGCAGGCTCTCTACACTGTAAGTGCAGAGCCCAATGCAGGGCTTGAACTTATGAACTGCGAGATCATGACCTGAGCTGAAATCAAGAGTCGAACGCCTAAACAAGTGAGTCACCCAAGCACCCCTAAGAGAGTAGATCTTAAAAGCTCTCATCAAAAGAGAAAAATCTGTAACTATGTGAGGTGCTGGACGTAAACAAAACTTACTGTGATAGTCACTTTGCAATATAAACATATATCAAATCAAATCATTGTTATATATCTTAAATGTATACAAAATCATATCCCAATTATACCTCAATAAAACTGAAAAAAATTGTTCATTTTCTAAATTGTTCAACTGAAAAATGGATAAACACAATATGTACATTTATAATGTAATATTATTCAGCCACAAAAAGAATGAGGTATTGATATGTGCCACAACATAGATGAATCTTGAAAACATTAAGGTTCTAATAAAAGAAGCCAGTCACAAAGGACCATATACTGTATGACTCCATTTATGTGAAGTGTCCAAAGGAGGCAAATCCCTAGAGACCAAAAGCTGACGAATGGTTGCTACAGGCTGTCGGGAGGGAGAAATAGCAAATGACTGCTAATGGACCCAGTGTTTGTTTTTGGGGTGATGAAATGTTCTGAAATTAGATAGTGGTGATGGTTGTATGACTCCATGAGTGTACTAAAAATCAAGTGTACATTTTAAAAGGGTGAGTTTTATGGTATGTGAACTTAATAAATCTCAATAAAGCTGTCATTGAGATTGTTCATATTTACTTATCTATTTGAGCTGCCACTGTATTTAAGAAATTAACTGAAATTTGTAGGGCTTTGGTATCCTTTAAAAAAATGTTGCAGCTGGCTCTAAAAATTACTCAGTGCGAGGATGCTAGTGGTACAGATACTTAATAGAAAAGTGTATTTGGCAGGGAGCAAGGAAATGGCTTCCCTGATTTGGAGTAGAGCTTGCTTGAATCAGCAGTGCTGGGGGCAGAACTCCAACAAACTTTTATTCATGTCAACTGCCTCAGTGCACATCAACATTCATCACCTAAAAATACTTTAAACACTGAACACTACAACTGTGTCCAGCAGGATAGCCAGCCAATTATTTATCATGGCTCTGATGTGACCAAGAAAGAAAGGACATCTGAGAGATGTAAATTTTTTGAGTATTGTTGGATTTGGGCATTAAGACAAAAAAAAAAAAAAAAAAAAAAAAAAAAAAAAAAAAAAAAAAAAAAAAAAAAAAAAGGCAAAGGGCTTATTTTCTCATGCATGGTCAAATAACAAGAGTAGTCTGAAAGTACCATGGTACCATGCAAGAAATTACAAAAAAACACAGAGATGTGGAATTTCATGGATCTCCATCAGAATGTAGAAATATGCAAACAGTTTTTTTTTAATTCAGTCTTCCATACTTCCAAACACCACATAAACCTCATTAAACACTTAAGATCTTCCTAGAATGATGGAATGTTAGAAAACAGAAAATAAACCTGAGGAACAAATGCTTCATCAAGAATAAAAATATCTAAGTAGCATAAACTCCATGAAATTTTCACTTTCTACCTCCTACCCCAGGAGAGTTATTTCCTGAGAAGGACCTAATATTAGCTGAGCTAAAGTTTCTGTGTTTTTTATACAAATTACCAAAGCTCCCTTTAGACAGTATTTACTGAGAAAACAAATTTTCAGTCAGGGCGCCTGGGTGGCTCAGTCAGTTGAGCGTCTGACTCTTGATTTCGGCTCAGGCCATGATCTCATGGTCAGTGAGAATGAACCCTGCATCAGGCTCTGCATTCACAGGGCAGAGCCTGCCTGGGATTCTCTTTCTCCCTCTCTCTCTGCCCCTCCCCTGTGCACTCTCTCTCTTTCTCTCTCTCTCTCTCACACACACACACACACACACACACACACTCTCTCTCTCTCTCTCTCTCTCTCTAATAAATAAATAATAAACATAAAAAAAAAGGCCCAAATTATCAAAGATTTCTTTCTCATGGGCCTGTATTTCTGACATTCCAATTTAAGCCAAATAATTTTTGAAATACCTACCAAGAAAAATAATTATCCTT